TAAATTAGATCTGCACTTTTATAAACTGTCAGAACTGCAGAAGGCATCTGAAGGTGTATAAATTCAAAAGCATCATGAAGGGCTTAATCCTTTCCATCCTTAAAAGAAATATAGAGCTATAGCACCTTGTTTTGTGTCTGTACTCCTTTATGTTGCTTTATATTTTAAGAGCCTGGGCTAGGCTGCAAATTGGGACAGTTCTATGGCAGGTGCTGCAATCCAGCTGAGACCTGACAAGGACCAAGGGAGCCATGCTGGGCCAGGCAGTAAACATTGCATTGGGAACACATTTTACCTTCCTTGTGTATCAGCAAACACAAAATAATTAAGCAGTAGAAGACATGAGGGAATCCAGAAAGTCTTCAGGTTCCTGTCAGAATAATTGCTCTCTACAGTGTGCTTCCATTAACACCTCTGAAAGTGTAAAATCCTTTGGGGTGGTAAAACCGCGTTCTTGAGCTACAGCATTGTTTGGTTGTCGGGGTGCAGCAGGTACACCGATGAGAGCATGTTTTGTTTGGTTTTATTCTCTGTGTCTGTTGTCACAATGATGTATTTAAGAAAGTTGCTGTACTTGGAAGAATTACATTATAGGCATCTAAGACTCCCAAATGCCTCTGGGCACAAACATCTCAAAAATCTGCACCCTTTTTGGGGTGTTTTTGTAATTCATGTCTTTTCCCATCATTTTTTATTAGTATTTTATCACCAGACAGTCAGAAATGTCCTGCAGCAGTGTTGTCTTGTTGTTAACTCTTGTCATATTTCACTCATTGGCTTTGAAAATGGAAAATGATGAATGGCTGCAGTGTTTTGTTTATAACATCTCATTCTGGAGTTTTCTATAAAAGTAGTACATTTTCATTACTTACCACTGAGTTGTTGAAGGGGCTTGGGGTTTTTTTTCTTAATATAAGAAAAAGTTATTACACTTACAATCACAAAAATGAGTCCTCAAAAAATTATTGAAAGAATATTTTAAGAATATTGACTTCCCATTTCAGTTCAATCCTAATTTATTTAGCACTAGTTTGGAATAATCAAAGCTAAATTATTTTGAACTTTCTTACACTTATGTACCTTAAAACAGGAGTGATCATGATATAAACTGACTAAAATTGTACAACCAATCAGATTTTATTAAAATAATTTTTTTCCATTTTGGGAAGTAGAATTCCTTCATCCTCAAGAATGAAGGAATGCACTTCCTGTGAGTGTGTTTAATATCATCAGGAAATTCAAATCCAGATGTTTGCTTAAAGGTTAAGACATATTTGAAACAACAAAGGAGGCCTTTTCTTTCTGCTGCATATATTTAAAATGGGCTACTTTTCAAAGAAATTTCAGAACCCCATTTGCATCCTAATTGCAGCCCATTTCCTGAGTCCACAGTTAGGCAGACTATAGAGTGGCATTGGGGATTTCTGGGGCAGAGAAATTGTTGGTTCTAGCTGAGCTACTGAAAAAATAAAAGGGAAAAAGATGAATGGATTTTTTGCTTCAGCAGCCACCAGCTGGCAGATCGGCTCCTTGGAGCTCTGCCAAGCAGCAGTTTACAGCAGCCCTGCAGCTGCTCTAGGCTGGGCTGGAGCACGACTGGCACCAAGCCACCTTCAGCTTTGGACAAGGACTCAGCCTTGGAATTGACCAACAGATGTGCTGGGATTGCGGCTTTGCTCGCTCACGTCTGATGCTCAGGGAACGCAGTTGGTACCTGAAAGTTCAGTGCTGGGAAATTTGCCTTAATCATGTACAGGAAGATAAGGAGAAATAGGTTAAAAATAAATGTTTGACATGGTCCAAAGTTGGTCTGGTTTGGGAGTTTTTTCATATGGCTTTTACTTTTGTGCGTCTCATTTTTGGACACTTTTCTTATTTTGCCCAGTTCATGAGGATCCTCAATAACTGAAAAATGGACCAGCAAGAAAATTTGGTTGCACTGCATTCTTTCAAAGTAAATTACCTGAATTCATCAAAAGAAAACTTTATTAATTTCAATACTGTAGTTTGCATTTCTAATAAAAATTTTATAATTGCACCAAAAAATAACTTGCATGAAAATCAAATCAGCCCTGGAATTTTTATTGACAATATTTTGGAGGAAGAATAATGTTATTGGGATGAGTATTTCTTACTGATTTTGATTCCTGTCTGTCAACTGTTCTCTCTTTTCCTGATTGGAAGCTGTTCTTCAGTAATTTGTCATAGATAACAACAATAGTAGTTGGTTTTGGCAGTGTTTCATTAAAGTCTCTGCTCATTTAATGTGTAACTATGCATCTGATAGAATGAGTCTGTCTTTCCTTGTTAACCATCATATTATCTTGTTGCCGGGGACAAGACCAAACCAATTTCTTAAAATTATGATGGCATATTCTGAATTTCTGTTGGTGCTTTAATGGAGGTAGATTAGCTCCTAATTTGTCACCACATGGTATTTGTTTAATTATTCAATAGGAAGGGAATTTTCAGCAAGTTAGAGTTTCACAGAGCTAAGACCTTCCCTAGCCACATGTATATTATTAAACATTTATTCATACATACACACACATTGTCTCCCCCATCAGCCAGCAACCAGAAGCCAATATTATGTAGACCTACAAACCAAGCATTTATTTTCTAAATTTAAAATATTTCAAGTGAAATATAACCTTGATAAGGAAGAGGAAAGAAACACTACAGTGCTAGATAGTCATAACAGCTTTTCATCAAGTTAAAAAGCAATAGGTGACAATAATAAACTGAATTTAGATATAATTTTGCATTAAAAAATAATAAAAATATCGTGGACAAGTAGATGAAGATGAATGAACAATTTCATGCTGTTGCCAAATGAAATCACTAGCCTCCTATTGGAGTAATTAATAAGAAGCAGATGAAGAAGTCCCTCGTAGGACACTAATAGTGTTTGTTCTGCTTCATAATGGTGAGGGTTTACCTTGAGTGCTGTACTCCTGAGCCTTCTACTTCAAGAAAAAAATAGTGGAATTACTGAAGGGGATCTGTAGGGAAGAGAAGTGTGAATGACTCAGAGTCTAGCAGATGAGTCCTATGAGAAAAAGTCAATGTGGTATTTTTTTATTCCAGAGCAGAGAGGATTAAAGGGTTGCTTGACAGCATTCTTTGAAACCATAAACAGATATTCAAGATCAAACAGAAATTCTTTCTTCATTTTCATGAGAGCGAGAGGAGTGGTCTTGAAGCCAGAAAGATACAGTTTAGACATTATGAAGACCTTTTCTAAAAGAAAATGTAATATAGTGAGAAAATCTTAGAGGAGAAGGCTATACAGTTTACATTGATGAAAGTCCTTAAACAGATGACCAAGGACCATAAATGTCCAGAGGGATAAACTGGGGTTAACCAGAAGTTCAGGATAGACTGGAGGTCCCACCATGAAGTTCCTCTAAAGTTCTATATCAATCTTTAGATTTTCAAAGACACTAGGTGACACATTGTAACTCCTGAATCATTCCCTTACAATAAATACTTGGATATTTGACAGGGCATTAAATTTTACTCTCATCCCAGTAGGAAGATTATATTTACTGGCATGAAAATAAATAATTTATAGATAGATAGATAGATAGATACATACATACATACATGAAAAGTGTTTGAATTTACAGACAGGTGCTCCCAAAAATGATACCCTAGGAATTAAATGGAATTTCATTTCAACACCTATGTGCTGCAGATATAAAAACTGAAGTAATGTTTTCCAGAAGTGTTCTACTCCCATTTATAAATCTGTGTGCAATCAGCAGTGAATAAAGTAGAAAAAAAAGATGTTCCAGTCCTAATAATTTTTTTAAAATATCATCTCTGATGCCTAAAATGCACTGCAGTCCTTATACCCAAACCTGCATATGGGTCTGCATGGAATCATGACTATTAGCCTGCAGTAAAAAAAGCGTATAAGCTATGAATACTGACAGTATCATTCTTCTGTGCTGCTTAAAATAGAAATGCATGTGAAGTGATACAATTAATTCTGAAACAATAGATCTGAGTTTCCTATGGAATCCTGGAAACACCATGAAAGATTTTTAGCCAAATATTGTTGGAAGGCTTGGTAGTATTTTTTATTCTCTCAGCTTTGTTCTGCAACATCAGAACCCATATGTCAATGTAAATGTCAAGAAGCTGTTCCTGTGTCCTTGCAGAGTTCTGTTGCAGAAAACCTGTAAGGAGTCAAATTGGACATGTGTTTCAAATTAAGCAGTTGCTTTAACCATTCCCTGGGAAAGGGTACCATCATCTCCTCCCCAGTCAGGTGTGGTAGGGACACTACGAAGCATCACACCAGGTACACACTGAAAGTCTGCAGTGATCTGATTTGCCATGCACAGATAAATTACCATAATTCCAACAAAATCACATGCAGGCATGCTTGCACAACATCAGAAGTTGGTGGTAACATGCTGGAATCTTTCTTACATTGTATTTTTTTCCAGGCAACTGAAATAAAATTTGTGCTCTCCTGTAGCATGCATTTGACTTGTAAATACACAACAAAACACCTGGATTCAAGGGACGGTGAAAATTGAACATGTTCTGAGCTTAACCGAGGCACGAAGATATTTACAAAATATGTTCTTTTTATTTTGTAAGGATTTGAGAGTATTAAGTGTTGAACAATATGTGGTCAAAATTCTCTTTGTTTCATTATGTGAAATGCTTTTGAAAATCTGCTTACAATTCATGAAAACTTCTTACCATTTATTATATTCTGAAAAAGAAATCCTCCTTTGATTTAAACAATTTTTTGAGGAAAATGGCCAAATCATTTCCTGTAGCAAACATTTTTCAATCCTAGTGCTATTAAATGTGAATGAAGTTTTAGAAGTTTTACCATCACCTGGAGTCATCTTTTATTTTAATCTGCCAGACCCATGTGCTGTTCATGTGTAGTGAGGAGTGGTTTATGTACTCCACACCATTTCTCTACTGTGTTCCACTGCTAATACTTTTTGTTTTGTCTTCTTTTGTTTCCCCAGACTACATATCCAATCAGAATGGTGAGCCAAAACCTCAGCACAAGGGACAGAAAGTCAGCGCTTACTCCCACCGAGGACCCTTTTAGACACCCACCGGGCAGCCCAGCAGCAGCGTATGAGAGCAAGAGCTGCCAGCTGTCCAATCTGTGTCTGAGCAGCCTCCTGAAGGAGAAGGAGATTGTGGAAGCCATCAAGCACACCCGAGGCACGTACGAGGGCCTGGCCCCAGAGGCCACCCAGAACGGTTTGGCTGTCGCGGCCGCCAGCCCAGCCCAGCCGGCATCCAAGGCCGACGGCTGCCCCGTGTTCCCAGGAGCTCCCAAGGACCAAAGCGCTGTGCCTCGGCAGCACAGCACCTTCACAGGGAGACTGGGACAGCCCCCCAGGGGACCCATCTCCTTACACATGTACAGCAGGAAGAATGTTTTCCTCCACCACAATCTACACACGGCAGAGCTACAGACTTTAGGTCAACAAGATGGCTAACAAGGTGCTTATTTTCTTGCTATGGAAGGAGAGTTGATTAAAGATGGATGTAAGCTCACCTAGAGCTCTGTCTTCAGTTCTCATCTGCTGCTACTTTCATGTGAAAAAAAAAAAACAATAAAAATTTAAATTTGTCTGTAGGTTCCATATTTTCCCACCTTGGACTGAGGCAAAAGGATGAATGAGATTGTTAAATAACTGGGCTGATTTGTCGTGCAGAAGTCACCATGAGTTAATAAATGGGACCATCTGGCTGCACTGCTAGTCCAATATTGGCTAAATATATTTTACCCCTCTGTAAGTCACTATGATTCCCTGAAGTTCTAGAAGATGATCTTAAATAAAACCTGTATGTTTAATAATATTACTGTTAAAGTAGATGTGAGGAATAAATAGATAAGTAATTAGTAAACCCTCTTGAATTCCATAGAGATTAAGGAAATAAGGAGTCAGAAATCTTTAAGGACCTTCTTTTTACACATTTTTTTAATACAGTGAAATTTGGTAACTTACAGAGTGTTACCACTTCCTGCTGTATGTGTTTCATGAGTGCCTCATGCTACAAGTGGAGGAAGTAATTGATTTTCCTCTAACAGGTTCATAGAGAGTTGCCAGGTATTTGAGTCAGTAAATTGGGTCCCAGACTGAGGATGTCAGCTTGTTTCCTCAATCTTCCCTTCCCTCTTCACACTTCTATTTAACTACATTTCTCTGAGTGTCTCTGTTCTATGAGGGCATGTCAAGTTGTGGTGATCTTTGTGCTTTACAGGCACTGTAGCACTCATGATGCGATGTGACATTCTGCTGTGTAATTCATCCTGTAATTTCATTCCACTTCCCAAACCAAAAATGTGTGAAAGCCTAAAGTAAGAGAAATCATCTTATTACCCAGGCTGAACAACCTGCATCAGTCATAATTTCTGTGGGCTGCATCATCTGCACTTCAGGACCTGTTGGTTTACACCAGCTCGCTGGGTTTGTTAGTCTTGACGTGTTACAGACAAGTGAGATTAATTTATTGCCTGGTCTCTGGGAGTATGAAACCATCTGACCACGCCACAGAACCTGGAGACCTATTGGTCGCAAAAGATCTGCTTTTCCCCTCTCAGAGGCTTGGGAACCTCTCAGTCAGTTACTCCAAACATGTCGAATATGTGAAACATGCCACTTGGTTTACAACCTCTCTGGCGCAGGGTAATCTGTGTGAGTTACAATGGCACGTGCAGGGAGTAGTTAAAAAATAATTTGGCACATTTAAGTACGATTGAGGCAGATCTGAGACAGGTCACTTCTCTCTTTAACCAGTGATTAATAAGGAAAGACAAGGTTGCAGCACGTTCTCACACACAGAAACAAGCCATTGTGACTTAACAGATAGCATCTGCAACTTTTAAAAGTTGTCACATAGAGTGTATGAAATAAAGACAAAATTTTACCTGGTGTTAAATATATCTGCTTCACTACTTAATATTTGGATCATTACAAGGAAATTTTATTAACAAGTCTTGCTTTAACTAAGAAAAAAAAATAGACCATTATCTTGGCAGATATTGTGTAAAGTAACTTCAGCAGCCTGAAATTTCAGGCTTCTGTTTATTGAGGATTTTATTTTTATTAGAGCAGAATTTATTACATTATCTGATATTGAAGAGAGCAGGTTTTGTCTAAATATTCTGTAGTGATAATTTTGGGTATCCAGAGAGGGATACATAAGAACCAAGACAAACATTTGCCAAAATTCTTCATGTTCATGTGTGCATTGCTACTGCCAAAACAGAATGTGCAAAAATTGCAAACACAGCTTTACCGAATTAACTGTGGGTATTCAAGACTCCCTGTCCTGCATTGAAACTCATAATTTAAAGTCTACCAAACAAGTTTAAAATAGTAATAAGATAATTTCACTACTCAGAATCACTTCTTCTTCTTAGCAATATCTTAAAGTCATGGTAGATTCAAAGGACAATTAATTCTTGCTATCAATTCATTTCAGTATTGCTCATCTCAAGAGCTCATGTATGCAATTAAATTTCAGATCTGTAAATAAATTAAACAGACACTGTAATCAAGGAATTTTTTTCCAGGATACAAATGTACTGTACTACATTAAAAAAGGCAAAACAAAACAAACCAATACCCTCTTCAGTTTTAGGTTATGTACTGTATCTATAGTTGTTTTTTTCCTGGGAAAATGGACTTTTGGAATACACTTTATTAAAAAAAAATCCATCTATAAACTTCAAAAATAGCATTTCAAATGCTACTATTTTCTTGGAGAATCTTTTATAGAGCTGAAACTTTAAAAAACTGGAAAAAAACAGTTCAATAAATATGAGGGATATTTTTAAAACGTCATCTTGAAGCTGTTTTGTATCAGTATTTTCAGCAATGTTATGTTATTTGTAATACTGAGTGTAAATCTCACCCAGAGAAGGGTATTAGCCACATGTTAATGTACAGTACAGCAGTTACTGTAAAAGAGGTCCTTTCTTTGGTCCTCTCCTGTATATATATCATAAAGCAACAGCATGTGGACATTCTTGCAGTGAATTGATTCCTTTGTACTAAAAATCTCTAGTTTTTTAAGAGTTCCATGTACAAAATGATTTATACATTTCTCCAAGGCTGTACATATCCAAAGACATGACACCGGGGGAAAAGGCATTTATTATTTTTTTCCATGGATATACCTTTCTTCCCTTTTTTTTTTTCTCTTTCTGTACAACAAAGCATAACTGCAAAGTTTCTGCTTAAAATGACTTATTAGTTCCATGTCTTTCAGTGTGATAGAGGGCATTTTAAGGAGGAGGAAATCCCCAAAGAAAAACTCTTTCCACTTGAAGCAGTGTCCGTCCCACTTTTTTAGAGCAGTCACTTGGCAAAAGAAACCTTAGATCTGTGTCCTAAATATTTTTTTAATAATTTACCTGAATTGGTAAATTATTACAAGAGGCACACCTGAAATGTGCTTATCGTCCTCTCTAGCCTTACCCTGACTAGGACATGTTCATAAGACACAATAACATTCTAGGGGCAGCCCTGGTGATAAATTCTTGATTTCTCCAATACTGTTTTTTATGTTTGGCCTTCAGAGCAGTAGAAAGAGTTTTTTTCATAACCTGTACATGTAGATGAAGCTCAAGCTTTGTGCTTGTGCATGCTGGAAAAACAAAGCTCTCCTCTATTTAGGCTCTTTAGTAGCATATGAAAGTATCCAGCAACAGAAATTTCTGCCACCTTTCCAGGCATGCCAGCCCTCTCTATGAAAATGAAACAGCCAGAATAGATGCCTTTACTTCAATCCAGACTCTTACTGGTTTTTATTCCACACACCTCCATATAAATGTTAGAAGGGCTTTCCTTATGTGGCTTTTTTCCTGGAAATTGTGAAAGGGTGTTTGTCCAGACTAAGATGCTCAAATGATGTTTAGATAAGCATTTGAAAGCTTACCAAAATGTTGATATTTGTCCTACAGGTTAATTCTAGTCATTACAGGTTCATTACCAATAAAAATTGGTGGTTTTCCCTTTCCAAAAGCCAGTTTGGAAGTGATGATTTCTGTCTGTGCTGATTCACTTTATGCTGTTAAATACACAGTACACTTTTCAGACTAATAAAAATAAGATGATTACAAATTGGTAGTGTACTTTACATGCCCTAAGAGTTGTGCCATATCTCCACTGGTTTGATTGGTATGACACTGACTTCAATTAGGTTATACTGAGTTAAGTCACCTGATGATTGGGATTGTGGCCTTCAATCCAGCTAGTCTCAGTTTATGCACAGGAGTTCTCTAAATCTGGAAATCTTTCCTGCGTCAAAAAAAGACAAGAAAACAATCTAACAAAAATATCAGATCACCATCTATGGTGAATGCACTTCCTTTTCCCCTTCACATCCAACAGCAAAAAAAACCCTGCAAACCCCTTTGTACACAGTTCACAAATGAGCTAGAGTAACAGCTAACAAAATGCAAAATCTTGAAAAAAATACCTGGAGAAAAAAAATACAGGGGAGTCTTCTCACAGATGTTTGTAAAGTTGATAAGTTTGCCAAGATATTCGGAACTTCTGTATCTGGGTGCAGTAATGAAATATGTTCCATGGCCTCTACCACTCTCACTCCAATGAATTTTTTTGGAGGGAGAATTTGCTGTTTGAAACTTGCTCTAGAGAAAGCAGGCACTACAGTGTGAGAAAGTACATTGAAAGTATCCATGGAGGTCTTCTCCCAGCTGGGAGTAACACACAGCATCCTTTCCAGGATGCATCTTAGTGCTCTTCAGCCAGCAAGAATTTGACAGAGATTCCTCAGGAGAACAGCCTCAAACATGCAGACCATGACTGTCTTTAAGTGGACTTTACTTTAAAATATCCCATATAAGGCACTGCTAAAATAATATGGAAATTTCAGCAGCTGCAGAACACACCTTGCTGGGTTGTTGGGGTTGTTTTGTTGGTTTTTTTTTTTTGAGGTAAAAATGCCATATGCTGGTTTTAACCTTGTAAACTCTGTTTGGGACTTGCTTGCTCACTGGTGATCTACCCAGGATGTGAGAGTTTATCCACTGTAACAGATATGATCCTAACTCCTCACAGTATAAAAGGCATTGGATATCCTCCCTGAGGAGCTTGAGATTTGCAATGTATTTTCAGTCTAGGAGAACTATCTGGATTTAATTATCTTCTTCAAGGATCTTCACTTGTTGCAAAATCAGTAGAAAAGAAACTTAGTTATTTAAGTATTTTGGAAAGATTTTGTGGTTAATTTTTATTTTAAAATACACTTAAATTTTATCTCCCTGTATCTAAAGACAAGAAAATAAAAAAGGAAAAGAAAAAAAATTTATCAGCATATGTTTCCCATAAATCTGTGATTCTCACTAGCCACAGTTGTCACTTGCATTCTGTACAGCTGTGAAATATTTTTGGATTTGTTGGTTTTGTTGCCTTCATTACCTGTAAATCATTATCTCTGGTTCTGGGGGTTTTTTGCCATC